ATTCAATTATTTGATTCATCACCAGTTACTGTTGATCGTTCAGTTATTCAAGAAGATCAAACTCGTGGTCAAGTTATTCGAGCTTATACTGTGGATGTACAATTAGTCAATACAACAGATAATAGTCAATGGATTACAGTAGCACAAGGTACAAGTATTGGTAATAAGAAAATTGATGTTTGGCAAGTAGGACCACAACTGATTAATGCTGTTCGATTAACCATTACAAAATCAGTTGATAGACCTGTGATAAAATCATTTACAGTTCATTTGTGCACTTAAAACGGATATTTCTATTATAATTTCTAACTAAGGATTTTACGCAAGTTTTAATTTTTTTTTGTTCGATGCATGAACATTGAACAGTTTAAAAAAAAAATTGCTGACCATGCCGTAAGACATGGGGATATTCGATAATTAGTAGAAATTTTATCAAAGCTAAAAGAACAATTAATGTTATAAGACATACAAAAAGAAGAAGAAAGATTATATAACAAACTATTCAGGCATGAAATTCAAGAAATTACCGCAAATTATTATTTTTAACATGACTAAATCTATTAAAGTACTTTATTATTGTTGTTTATATCCCTTTATCAATATACTCAAGTCTAAGTACTTGTTCGAGTACTGCACAATCAATATTTCACATATGCTCGATTAAGTAAACTAATAGAAATCTGTTTTATGGAAAACAACGAATCTAAGAAAAACAGTATTTGAACTAATGACTTGACAAATAACTATAATTGAATAATATTTTTATAAAAAAAAAATAAAAGAAAAATAAGTACTTCTCAAAATGTCTCACCACTTATAAATATTTCATAATGAAGTTTGACACTATCCTTGCAATAAAAAAAAAAAAAATTTTCTTGTATATTTATTATGAATAACTAGAGTTATCAATATTCCATTTATTTATTCTTCTTCAATATTACAAATTTTCTTATTAATGTTCTTTAGTATTAAATTTAGAATTATATTTTGATTCAAATGAGTCTCATGAACTTGAAAAATATAATTCAATTATTGAATCTATAAGAGATTGACTTGAATTAGACAAATCATTTCAATCAATCAAATTGTATTAGATTACAATGATAACTACTTTTCAAACAGTTCTAACTCTAGATAATATTAAAGATGATTTTCTATTAAAAAATAGATAAATTTTCAGTTCAATTAGTAATAAAAAGTAATATGAAAATGGAATATAACAAATAAAAGACATAATGAGTTTGTACTTCCTGTCCTATAGATAATATAGATCTTTATTAGAATGATTTTTATTTAATTTACTATCGATTGATAAACTTTAGTCAAAATGGTGTAAGAATTTTCCTTTAGTTAATTATATAAATTTACATTTTAGTACAGACAATGATAGCACATAAATAAAGAAAGTCAATGTAAATTCTAATTGGATAAAAACATATTGTATTAAAGTAAAATACTTTAACTAAATGGCAAAATTTTGATTTTGTAGCATGTATTATAAATGTTCGATAGTCTAAATAAAATAGACTCATTATGTTTAAAAGAATAAAAATCAAAGATTTATTCAATATAAGTTTACAAAAACTGAATTTCTTTTAATAATAGTCGAAGTTTGCGAAAATGATTGATAAGCATCAATCTAATTATGCTTCATTTACTTATTATTTGTTTTGATGAAGATTTTCAAATGTGAGTAAACTAAAAAATAAATATGAGAGACAAAGGAACAATACTATTATCAATTGCTAGACAATCAACAATGTGACGAAGAAAAATTTTCTCAACAATGAACACATAGATAAACAAATTTTTAAAAGTAATAGACTGAAATTTTTTAAATTTTACAATCTTTTATTTTCATAAAGGAAAGTTTTTTGCCGAGAAAAAATGAAAATTTATCTTAGAGTGGAAGAGTGCAAACCCCACCACCATCACTATATTCCTGAATCTCAGTCTGAAGTATGTATTCACAGTTTTGAGGTTCATAGAAAAAAAAAGATAACTGTGCCGGGAGAACTAGCAAAATAACGATCCATGAATGATAAAATGATATGATAATGAAGGATATCAACGATTATATAAAATAATAAAAAAAAAATCGAATTCTGAAAAAATATACTACATGATTGACTGGTTGAACTTTCTAAGCAAGGTGAGCCATACGTGTCATAACACTAAAGTTAAAACTTAGAAATTGTCTAGGACGAACAATAAGACAATATATTGCACTACGATTTTTTGTCTTGATGGTGGTGGAGAAAAATTTACATAATTTAATATTGAACTAATATTACCGAAAAGTATAACAAAATTTCTAGCACAATGTGAGATTTTAGTTTTAATGTTATTAGTCAAAGAAATCTGATAAACTTCATTGTCACAAGATCTTGAAATCAGGTTTACTTTTTTGATGGCCCCACGTGATCCGTACTGGGCCAATAATAGTTCCTTTACACTGGTCCACACCTCAACTGGTAATGATAAGATATTCATGCCTGGGCAAAGTCTTTTCCCTCTTCCCCACATTCTTTTCATATACTACAAATGAGTTGGTTGATAGAATACTTCATGACTGAATTATCTCTTTTCTCTGATATTTTATGGATGTTTTACTAGTTTTAGTTTATCTATATTTGTATAATTAACTATATCACATTTGTCAAGGCACTCCGAGTCGGTGACAAAGAAAGTTTAATGATCTAAACGATTGAAACAGTTAGCAGATACAAAAAAAAAAGAGATAACCTAGTTGTAAAATGTTCTGTCAACCAGCTCATTTTTAGTGTTGCTCAATTATATTGAAAAATGTATATTCTTTATTGAAGCAGCTTGTCATTGATCATACACGGTAAGCTAAAGTACTTGAGTCATTCTTGTAATTAACACTCACTTGAGATCAAAATGGTTCTATATGAAAAAAAAAAGAGGAGAGAAGACTTTTGACAGGAAGTGTACGTAAATATATGTATATATTTTTTATGAAAAGAATTTTTACACGATAAAACTCAACGATCACTTTGATGATTTATCAGAATTTTGTAAAAAGTGTATCATCATCATCATGGCCACGAATTTGATAAAGTCATGCAATTTTTATGAATGTATAATATGCTTGACGGTATCCTAACTTGATTAAGACTATCGTTGATTATCGTAGCACCTTCAAATATTATAAATAAATAGCAGTTTCAACATTTTACATGACTAGTTGAAGGAAATAGACACATATCCACACTTTGAACCATGTTCACAATATATCTAGTGTGATTCTAGTCACTCTGAACTATTGCAATGAATTTAGTCCCTATGTCAAGCAGATATATATTAAATAACGCTGTATTTTGCCGGTTGGTATCATTTCAATGTAACAGTGACAGTCGTTAGACAAAATGAATAATCATAATGAACACTGAAACTGAAAGTTTTGATTTCGATCTATGTGCAGTGTTGAACTTAGAAGTTTATTTCAAATTTTATAAATCATCATGGTTCAAATACATATTAGATCTATGTAAAGTTGCATAACAGTATCATGAATTGAAGTTAAACAGATTAGATCGTGTTTAAATGATAATTATTAATTTCGAACTATTTCTTTGATGAGACACATATATGGATGAGATCTTCACAAATTGCCATAGTCTGTTTAGCATGAAATATTAATGAAAATTTGCAGAAATTTAGATATTCATGTTAAAGTACTTCCTCTGTGACAGCCAAGAGTAACTGTTGGTAACAACGGTAATTACTATAATTATATGACGTACTGTCAGTAAGACATTGGTGGTTGAAATTTTTCTATTTTGTTATCAAATAATATTGTTTAAAAAAATTCTTATGAAACATAAATGTAAATAAAATCATAAAAGTGATCCTATGAGACTTAAATATCACAGAACTGAGTCAATATATTATTAGTTATTGTTGCCACATTTAGTTAAGTAGGATAAGTTACAAATTATTAATATTTATCGAATAAAAATCTACATTTATGCGTAGCTTTATTCAATTAAAATCATCAAACAACTAAATTCTTAAAAGCGAACGAACATAGAAAGAAAAGCATTTGTACTTTTTACTGTTGAAAGTTACAAAATATTTGAGATTCGTCATAGAATCATAATACCAAAACGAGTGAGCAATAAGTAACATACATCATTGAAATAGAGCTAATAGAAAATTGATACGTATCATAACAAAGTAAATACACACTCCCATATGGGTAATCAAACTAATATTAATCTTTATTATTCTTCCAAGTCATAAGATTGACACTATGATGGATATCTTTGCATAACAAATGACAAACAATATGTAGACTAAAGTACAGCTTATTAAATATCGTTATAACGTAGTATTATGAGATATTCTCTAAATAACAATTATTTTTCTAGAAGAATCTATTTCAATTCTACTTTAGAAAAGAAAAGTATCGAATAATTTAGTTTTAAGTGTAGGATAAGTACAATAGCATTGTTACCGACTATTTTTCTTTTCATTTATCTAATCATGACATATTAGATTTCGTTCAGTTTGTAATCAGATTATAAAAAGAAGCGTTGACTTGAGAAAGCAATTTAAATAAAAGAATAAACTTTGTAAAAATATTCGCTAACTTTGTTTTTTTTGTGTAAATTCAAGATAAGTTTCTTTCTAATTACTTTTGAGTTATTCTTGTTTTTTATTCTAATTTATTTTTGATTGTCTAATTATATAAAGATGATGAATAGTTTTTATGTTTTCTTTTTAAACAGATCGATAATAGTCTATCTAAAATATGAATTATGGAATTACAAAAAATTATATTGAATATTTCTTTTAATTTCATTTCTTATAATAATGAAGACTGAAAAATTTTTTTATTATATTTTTCTGTTTTTTAATCTATATCTGTATGTCTTTTTCTAGTAAAAGACAAAGCTCTAGTAGCATAAATCTAAATAAGATTGACAATGACTAATAAGGCCAAAGTAACCTTCCGCTTCAAGTTTTGTTTTCTTTCATGCTANTATTCGAAATAAATCAATAATAAAATCATAAAATAATCGAAAGATAATTATCATTGAAAATGGAATAAGACCAGTTTTACATAATTTTATTATTGTTTCAATATCAATAAAATCAAATTCTTTTGCACATGTATATAATTGTGTATCAAATGTACGGAATGTTGAAGAAAACTTTGACTTTAATATATCCCAAATATGAGCATCATCATCAGCTGATGAAAAAAGAAACTTAATTATGACGAATTTAATTAAAATAAATGAACAAAGAAAAAGAATTATTCGACGAATGATAATAATAATCCGTCGATATGATTGGAATGAAGATGATGAATCAAGAATAAAATTATCGAAAAGACAAACCAAATAAAATGAGAATAATGTTATTGAAAATAGAGAAGTTAATAACATTCGATTACCAAACATTAGCACAGCTGATATTATTAATGAAAGGATTTGAGCACATAAAATAAAGAAAAATTGTTCGAATGGTAAAAGATTGAGTATATAGAGAAGACCAAGTGATAATAATTGAGTAGCTAATGTAAATTGAGCGACTAAAAATAAGAATATGACAATTATTTCAAATACAATTCTACGTAGTTATCTTTGATTTGAAATTTTTTTTATAAAGTTTTTTTATTCTAAATGAGTTGTTTATCATAAAGAATGAACAAATCACATTCAATCATTGATGATGTTTATCAAAGAAAAAAAAGGGAAGAAAAGTAAGAGGCTTTTCAACTTTTGAAAATTAATAAAAGTTAAAAAAAGTGTGAAAATAAAATATAAAAATGAAAAAACTACGTCTTTTATTAATATTTTCCATTTGCGTCAGGTAAGACTATAACACAATTAGTATAGACGATAATGATGAACATATTTTGGATGCTGATCTAGAGCCTTGAGAAATGTGACAATCAGAAGGTCATCAAAAAATACTATTCGTTTCGTCGGAACAAGTAGTCAAACCTATTGTGTTATATTGTTATAATATTTATTGAGGTGTGTTTATTGTAATGTCAAGATATGATAATCAAATCAATGAATTAATTTTTAAAAAAATCTGTTGCAATCTCTCGTGTCATCATGGAATGAAAACAACGGAACAAATGTGCGTTTTATATTTCTTATGTTATACTTTGAAATGATAAACCAGCGAAATTTCAAGCTATAGCTTTTTATTTGAAACTAATATTTCAGAAACAAATTACTTGTGATGGTATAAAATAAAATCTAAGTGATAAATATGAAGTGTTACATCTCGCTGGCTTTTCATCTTACATTCTCTCGATTACTAAATTCAAATTTGATCTATTATTTAGACAACATGCCACTCGAATATTATTCAATATTGATTATGATAATGCAAAAAATATTCGATTTTATTCTCATCTCAAAAAAATCTAAAAATGAAATTGTTCGTGTAACAAATATTTTATTTGAAGTAATAGATAAATTCAATCCTGTATCTTATTTACATTTCATTCAAATGAAACAAATCAAACCATGATGTACTATTCTCCAATTGTCATCGAATAACATACTGAAATCCATAGATCGGAAAGAAAAATCGAATTAGTAATTCACCAATATTCTATGCATAATATTTTTATAATGAATCATGTAGAATAAATCGATTTTGACATTCCAATCATTATTCGAAAACTCATCATCGAAAAATCTTGTATATCTATTGATATCTTCAGCAATCAAATAACATATCATGCTGCTTAACATCTTAAAAAAATATTAGAATCTAAAATTTTATCAAGAAATTGTCACGAATGAATAGTAATCAATTATCTGATGAAGGTATTCGTTATATTGTTCAGGTAATTTATTAATAATATAGGAGTGACTAATCTTCATATTAGTAAATATGAAATTAATATGAAAAAAGCTAAATTTCTGGTTCAAGTCTTATATGTAAATTCTATATTGCAAGAATTTTCTTTCGAAACGATTTCTTTATCAATTCACGATTTTCAATATTGCAATCATGCTTTAGTTTAAAACTTAACTCTAGCTACACTTAAACTAGTAAATTTATGAGAGTTATCGAGAATTCTTTGTCATGTTTAACAAAATTGAAACTAAATTTTTTCTATTTGGCAATTCTCTTCAAACTCAACGATAATATTAACATCGTCAAATAATAAAATAATCAAATAACTTTTTTAAATGATTAGTTTGCCTAATATACAAAACTTATATTATTCTAGTTTAAATTTTCTAAAAATAAAAATAGAAAAGTTGAATATTCAGTGCTATGATATACTATTGCAAGGTGTTTTTCAGAATAATTTTATTTTTTGTAGATGCTACTTACATTGCCATGGCAACATGTACAGAATTGTCGAACCAATAAGCAATAGCAGAAGTTTTATTTTATGTCGATAAGATATTAAATTTTGTGGTGAATCAATATCGATTGATTGATCATGTTTCTTTATATACCCTATAAAAGATTTAATAGCATTAGTATTCGTCAATGTTTGTTGTTGTTGCAAAACATATGTGACAACAAACAATTGAAGAACATGAAATGGAAATGAAAAACTTTCACGAAGTGGTGGTGTCCTAAAAAATATAATAAGAAGTTTCGTAAGAAATATTTTCTTTAAAAAGAACAAACCACATAACTCTTGTTGCTTCACCATGATTAAATACATAAGCAAATGTTGTTATTATTCCACCTAAAATGCTTTTTGATAAATATGTTCCAAATAAAAATAAAATACCAAGTAAAAGTCCATTTAATATAAAAACACTTGTTACATAGAAATAAGTTGGTTCTTTATGTCCTTCACATGATAAAACAGGAGTCATTGTTTCACCTCGATCAATTTGATAACATACTTCTGTTAACATACCTTGAGAATTCATAAGACGATAAATTAAACTAATTAAAACTTCTGGATAAAGATTAAAACGTTCTAAAACATTTATTGTTGTTGGTGCTTCTGTTCGATTATCAGATATAATTGATAAAAAACCTTGAATAAATGATGTCGAATCAATAGCAATCTGTTTAAAATATGAATAATAAAGACCCATTTCCGTACGAAATGATAATTCACGTTCTAATGTTGATAAATGTGAAAAACGTTTATCATTCTCAAATAATTCATATATATATGAAAAATGCAAATAGGATATGACTAATGCAATAATTAATAAAATCAATGGATAGCCAAGAGAAAATAACTACAATGAATAAAAAATCAATTCAACTTAAGTAAATATTAGAAATTAATGATTTTCTCGAAAAAATAGACAATCGATATATTTAAAGTGTACGAAATCGTACACACACTAAGTCAACTACAAAGGTACAGAATCTACTGTAAAAATAAAACATTTACTTAAACAGCAAGATTTTTTCGAAAAATCTTCCTGTTCAGAAAAATACAGAGGAGACTTTGTTTGTTTGAGAACGCATATTTATAAACACAAAATATCAAAGACAGTTATAACGTAAAAAAAACCAAAATAATTGTGATCATAATCAATTACTAAACAATAAAGCTCTAATAAACTGATAATATGAACCTACAACAACTAGAATGAATTTTTAATCATTGAATTCCTTTCAAGTTCATTATCAAATTAAATGATTAATAAATTGTCTTAAGAGTTTTCACTTCACCCTTGTCGAAGCGATCTTCTAATAAGGATATAGTCTTTGAGAAATTTTTTTAGTACACTTTTATTTAAGAAAACTCTTTCTATGTCTAAAAAGGATGAATTTCAATAAAATCTACATTATTGTGAACAACCTCTCAATTTCCGAGTCATGTGTTTCTAAAAGGTTTGAAAGTTTTCGATTTTAGCATAAATCAATAATAGAAATACTATGACTTTCTGATCTGTTCTCTGGATTATTTTCTAGACAATGATATTTTTTTGTGTGAGAAAATCCTCGTCAAGAATTATATTTGCAAATAACTTATAATAGTTGATGAATCGAAGAAAGGATTACAACATGCTGTTCAAACATACATTCTTTATGTCAGATTTTGGTGACTAAAAGTAATTGTCATTGTTGCGTGTTCATATTATTGCTTTATTATTTCTTCATTATAAAATAAGCGATTACTATCAAAATTTATGCTATTTTATCTTTTGTAGGAGTAGTCGTTAATAATTTAAACGACAACGGTAGTAGTTAAAAAGAGTAAAAGCGCTGAGAGGAAATGCTTATGGGAAAGTCAGTTGGCGGAAAAGAAGAAGAGACTCAAAGATAAATGATTTGTGTGCAAATAAGCCAACCTTATAGGTCTACAAAATGATAACAAAAAATCAGAATAAATCAAAGAATTCGTTTATTGAGTTTGTAAGTTCTTTGTAGCAGAAGATATTGTTTGAAAAGTTTCCCGACCTAAGCATTCTCCCATAATTTCCTCTGGCTCAAAAAATGTCCTCAAAGGTGCGTTTCCGCACACGGGTAGTTTCTGCAGCCTTGGTCAACTAATTGGAATAAAACAACTAATCTAGCAATAAGCTTTTAAAATTGATTCAATCATTTTTCTATTCATTGTTTTGTGTAACAATCACTTGAGTTACATTCCAGCAGTATCATGTGAATTTATCATTAATACAGCTTGGGAATTAAATATGCATACTATAGAGTGAATTGAATTAATCTATGATTCAGTTGTTGATCGGTTTGTCTATTGAATTAGTTCTTTTTTCAATCGATACTACATATACAACAATAATTGACCACAATAATTACAATAAGAACAATTTATATATTGATTTTATTTCAATATATTTACTATCAATAATTGTTTGCTGGAAAATATCTTTACCTGAGAATGGCTTTTGTTCTTTTCTATTCTTGTTTCTGTTAATGAAGGAATCTGTTGTTTATTCTTTGTTCCATGACGATACCGAACTGTTGATTGACGATCTTTCGGCATCTTAAAATAAATTCTATCTACAAAGAAAAAAATGAAAAAGTTTCCTTTTTTTTTTTTTATTTTCTTGCTAATCCAATCAAATTAAAGCGAATATCACCCTGGAGTTCATTCACTTTTTGTTTTACTTCTTGAGTCATACGAGAAAAAAAACTTTCATTATTCAATTCCCCAATGAACTTTGCTTGTGGTCCTTTTGTACTTCCATTTAATTCATATAATTTATTGCTGTTCGATAGAATATAGGCTATATAATGGTAACCAACTCTACCACTATCAACCATTTCTGTTTGCCCTTGTTCAGCTGTTTCTTCATGAGCTTGATGAATCTTTGTATCATTTAATAAGACTATAGCCCGTTCATCAGCAGTCATTGTTTTCGTTTTTTCAAAAAATTCAGCCAAAGGAGAATTGTGTTCCAGAACCACTTTATCCAAATTATTACCGATTGCATGAAGAAGAGCAATAAGACAACAACAACTATCTAATTCATCAATTTGTTTAATTGTCCATAATTTATCATCAATTGATGGTTGAGATACGTTTGAAATAGGTGATGAACCACTGTCTGGATAAAGAAAAATATAAGAAAATATTGCCTCATTAGATGAATAATCTTCATCTAGTGAGTAGATTTCAATAAAATCAAGCGAATTAACATTGACACCTAGTTTTTCCACATAGACCTGCCATAAATCAGGATCTGATTCAAGTGCATGCCATGAACTTGATGAAGACATCTAAAATATTGAATGACTAATCAATGAAGTATTTGTTTTTCGATTACAAAAAGAAAACATCCCAATTTAAAAAAAACACGTAACTACAGGAAATATCAACACAAAATACAACGTTGAAAGAATGATGCATGTCGATGACTCCTTTTGGCATTATTGTATGTCGTGAATTGTTTCAGTTTTTTTAAGAATGAATTATTAAGGCATTCGCAAGAGAATCTATTGATGAAAAATGTTCGAAGGAAAATTAGGAGAATGAAAAATCGACTATAAAAAGATTGATTCATTGTTCTTGTGATAAAGAACAACAACAAAAAATGAATATGTAATATGGAGTAACAGAAAGTGATGAAAAAACTTCTTCATCATACCAACGAACGAAAAGAGCAAAAGAAAAGAATGATTGGTGTTATGTGATAGCAAATACAGTTGACATTCCAACAAACGTCATAAAGCCGACGGAGGTCGCTTATCAACAAAAACTGTTGAAGAAATATTTTCATTGTTTATCAAGTAAAAACAGAAAAAATCGAATTTTAAACGTAAATAATGAAGACTCTCTATCAATAACTATTCGTAGATACCAAATATAAAAAAAACACTTTCAGCAACATTGGAAGCAAATACTAAACATCTTTACCAAAAATAATTTATGAAAAAAATCATCTTGTCAAAAAGTATACTGAATAAAAATAATACAAAATAACGTTATTAATAATAGTTATTTTAGCATGCAAAAGGATTTTTCAAAGGATTGAAGTGGATTTCTTAGTAAATCGATCTTATGTGAAAGGTAAAAAGCTAAAAGAAAATATTACTCAGTATACGTATATTAACTAGCCGAATGAGTATCATGATTCTAGCATAGATTCTACAAAAATCAACAATAAGTATATAGACTGTAGCTTTATTTATTTTCGAACACTCTTCGTACTTTTGCATCCTTTTCATAATAATTAGTTTAATTTTTACAAAGTAAATATTTTGTTGTTCTACATTTAGTTCATAAAATCTTTCTGTCTTCTCTACTTCGCTACAATGGTGTATTGGTCATTCTATAAATATTTACTGTCGATATTTAGTCAGTATCGAAATTTGTTGATGTGCTCAATTCCTAAGAAAACCATTTTTAGATGTCAACAAAATAAAAGGAATCATATGAAAAACATATATCAATTAGAAAAAGAGTTTCAGCTCTCTCAGAATAAAAGTTAATAGTCAACAAAAACAATATATTGAAAAATTGTATCTACTCCCTCACATCCACACTTTAATTCGCTTTAAAATTAAGATGTGAAAGAAAATAGTTTATTACACTAAACATACTCATTGGTTATTTATTTTCGAAGCCTGTTTAATCTTTGTGATACATATTCGATATCAATTATTAATGCAACTGTTTAAGCATACATCTCAGTTGAGCTTTTGCAAAGTGTTTCACACAAAAACACAAAGCTAGATAACGATATATTTAGCCCATCAATTGCTTCAGAATGTCCATGTAATTTCCAAATGATATCTCTCATTTTTCGACAATGATTTATTACTCGGTGTTATAATGCATTCTTATTAAAAATAAATCACCTGATTCACTAAATTTATTAGTAGCGAGAAAAAGATGTTGTCTGTATCAATAAATGTAATGAGTTCCTTTTATAAAGATTCTATTACATGACATTCTGGGGAAGATTTTCATCCATCTATGATTCAAGTATTTTTTTAAAACTATCATAACATTCTTTGTGGTTCATGCACAAGCACATTAACCTTGATATGATTCGTATACTTGGTTATTTATAGATTGTTGTAGGTGTATGGTTTTATCAAAATTTAGGATCGATTGATAATGAACTGAACCATTAGATAACATTTAGTATATTTGAGAAATAGATCCTTTCGTCAATTCATGCTTTGAATAATCACATAAATTCTTCTGATTTCGAATATGTTTGAAAACAAATATGACTCCAAAAGAAGTCTCGAGAGATTTGGAAAAATGCAGCATCATCCTAGATAAATTTACATCAATCACAAGTTTCTCATATGTACAAAGAAATCTCACCCTCTCCACATATGTATTTTTGTTTTCTTATTTTTCAATTTTGATTTTGTTATTTTCTTTTTGAACTTTCTTCTCTTTTTTCTTTATCGCGACTCTTTACGTTGCTTTATGCAGTCTTATGATATGCCATCTATATCATTGTATATCTTCATCTGATTTATTTTGTGTTGTTCTAACGATGAAACTTTATACATTACAATTCAAGATTTTTTATGAACGTTTTTCTTTCATTTATTAGTACTTATAAAGATCTATGCATCACACCTCATCTTGCTACCTGAGAAAATGTAATGCGTCCGAATTCAAGATCCCTAACATTGGTTAATTTTTTTTTTGTGTTCTATATTTTCATCTACAACGTAAAAATTAAAACTTTTACGAATACACAAGTATGTATCTGAATTGAAGTCTTTTGATTAACACTACTCTTTTATTTTAGTCTTGTTCGTAATGTCTAACTTTAGGATTATCTTAATCATAAATGGAGATGTATGTATTTAAATTTAAAATATTTTCTATAAACATTATTTTGTTATTTTAGTCTTTATCTTCTTCTATAACAAATTGATTATCTTCATTATAAATGAAATTGTATGCATTCAAATTTAAGATGCTTTCTCTTGGATCTATTGTCATATTTTGTGCATTTATCCTTATCTACAACTCAAAAGTCTTTTTTTCCTCAAGAATCTAGATGTATCTATTCAATATTTCAAAGTTTTTCCAACGTTTGGATTGTGTTGTTTTGGTCTAGATCTTCATTTAGAACTTAAGGTTATATTTATTATGGATCATCATGTATGCATTTGAACTTAAAATCTTGTCCATGGCTTTTATTCTCTAAATTTAGTCTTGATTATTATCTCCAACTTAATGATTATTTTCAGTAAGAATAAAAATATTATATTTGAATTCAAAATGTTTTTCATTACTGTTATTCTACTCTTATCGTCTTGATATCCATACAGAAACTGGCGAATGTCTTTACAATGAATGACAATGTATGTATCTGAATTGAATATTTTTCAGTTACGTATTATTAATGTTATTTTTAGTCTTCGTCCTCATCTATAATGTAACGGATAGCTTTATCAGCAATGAAGACGTATGCTAATTGTAACGAAAAATTGGATAGGCTTGGGGTGGATATAATATTAAATAGGAATATATAATTGATACTTGAAGGATGCACAACACAAGTAACACTACACCGTGTTAATTTATTTGAAAGAATATGACACGGATATACAATGTTTAATGTAAGAGGACACGGCACACAATCGACTCGAGTTAATGGGTGTCTCTGTAACGTTATGATCCTTGACCTAGCCTAACTTCGTTACTTGTTCACCAACCTATTCGTTTAACCATCAAGCTGAGACTGCACTGAGTCAATACCGAACTGCCTCTCGTTCAACTACGAACTGAACTACTTTTCTATTTGTCTCAGAGACCCCCATATATCGAGATCGAAAGGGAGAGAGAGGAAAGAGAGAGCAATAAGAGAGAGAGAAATAAGTAGGGAGACAAATGGGAGAAAATGGACAAAGTAGAAGAGAGGAAAAAGAAAGAGAAAAGAGAGTGGAGGACGGATTACGCGATGCTCGAGCGAGAGCAAGGGGCGCGATACAAAAGGACATCGGACGTCCTATGTAAACTCTATCAGTCTCATCACGTTGGAATAATGTGCTTGTCAGCATCATATGACGTGATATCGACTGGCGTAATGAGAAGGGACCACGTGCTCTTTTGGCACACTAATGAGTTGAAAATGCTTTTCAATGTTTTTTTTTTCTGTTATTTTAGCTTTTTTCGTCGTATACAACGTATAAGTTATTGTTATCAAGAAGATGAAACTATTATTCAAGATTCAGAACCTTTTGCATTAGCTCTAATTTCGTATTTTGGTCTCCACTGTGATTTTCAACGTATTAATTATATTGATAACCAAAGAACGTATAATTGCTTGAATTGAATGTTTTTTTTTTCATTGGTTTTCTTATTTTATTGTAGTCTTTATTCTGATTTGCAACTTCATTTTTATCTCCAATACAAATGAATATCCGTGTATTATCTCAGTTTTGGTTCAACGTTCACGGTACACCTTTATGTTTTGATAACTGTCTCTGTTATGGTATAACTCGTGTGAATGCTTGTGATTCTTTATGTATTATAATGCAGACCAAATTTTTTCATGATGATGTTTTCGTATTTTTCAAGTTTTATGTTTATATCTCTTTTCTGATTTCTTGTAAGCGTTTCTTTTGTATGTTTCATCAGTGACGCGATTTCTCTACATTTCCCTGAACTTTCTGTTATTTTTCATTTTTGTGATCATTGTTTTTTTTATGGACCTGTGTACAAAGGAAAAACATTTGTAATGTAAACAGATCTCTTAGCTTGATTTTGAGAACTATGCATTTCAAAGAAAGCTCAGTGAAGAATAACTGATGTGAAAACTATTTCAAGTTTTCAAAAATCATGTGGAAGATGAAATATTGATTGTTTGCCATCAAAAACATACAACAAAGCAATATAGTCATAACTGAACCATAATATAACATATCTATGATTGAGACACCGACAATGTTGAGTTCTTTTTTTGTAGTTCATTAGCATTTAGCTGCGATTCCGTGATTGCTTCATGCTATAACTATTGAGTTTTTATCTCCTGTTGATATTGATGGCCGAAGCGTAATGTTATTTACCTTTTTTTGTTCAAAAACATGTTACAAAGCTCTAGTTTGATCCATACATGTTTACATCTTTTTTTATGCTCACAGAAAGTGCCACTTCTATATAATCAGAGTTTGTCGTGACATAAAAAAATTGAGGCACTATAACAATAACCAGCGACGTCTGATATATTCTTCATCCATGTAAAGAAGGTGTACAACTTGGTTCAATGGCTTTTTCGTATATGTAGCTCAAACTGCATGTAGATTACCTCAACCTGATCAAATGATCAGTCATCAATAAAACGGCGGACGACAAATGATCAACATGTAATAGACTGCCCAAGTGTTTCCCTGTACAATAACCTTTTTGTGTACTCAAAAAGTGAGTACACTCTAGAATCGGTCAGTATGTCCGGCCGGCCGTTTACACGATAACTTTCGAAAGAAGAGTCCGATCACGATGAAATTTTCTACACAGTTTAGTCTGAACAATATCTCGGTCGAGTTCGAAGATGAGAATGATTAGCCTAGCCATTCCTGAGTTATTGCAAAAATACTCATTTTTCCCTATGCTTCCCTATGAGAAGATAGACCCTTCTCTGTTTTCGTTAAAAACTTTTCCTATCATAGTCAAATACAACCACAACTATTATAAACCATTCGATAGAGAATTTCACGAGCTACACGATGGTATATAAAACACAAGGAAATAAGAAGGCTAACTCACCTATTGCAAAGATAATTAAACAGAATTCCGTTCTGTTTTCATCCACATTCTATGTGATCCACAAAGAGAGCTCTATCTTTCGATTACAGAGATGATAGTTCGAGGTTTTCTGGATCGGGAAACTTGAATCTGTGCTCCATTCGCCTCGAAATCTCATTGGTTGAGCAGTAACCAATAGAAGTCAAGCATTGATAGACAAGGTTTGCCAGAACAATTTTGATGTCCATACATTCTAGGATGGCTCATCTTTCTCCAGAGACGTACCCAGAGGTTACCTGGGCTGCTTGTGCACTCCCTTGGCCAAAAAACCTGGAGGAGGTACGGCGAGACGAAGTTTTGAAGAAATCAAAAATTACTTTTTCTCTGGTGTGCACCCCATAATGACCCGGGCACCTCCCTTGGAAAGTTCTTGGACACGCTCCTGTCTATCTCATTCACTTTTTGAAGTACACATAACTCTCGGATTGAAATTCGAGGTTTCCACATTTATTTGTTAAATATAGTTTACTGGATTGAAAAATATCCGTGGTGATAATTATCACATATATGCTATTTATGAGCTTGCTATTGAATATGCAAGACTTGATATGTCAGAATTATTATGGAAAGCATTTATTGATTTTGAAATTGAGCAACAAGAATATGATTGTGCTCGAAAATTATATAATAAATTACTTTAAAAAACTTAACATGTTAAAGTAAGAAGAAAATAAAAAGAAATAAATGCGAAAACCTCGGATTTAAATCCGAGTGTTATGTGTACTTCAAAAAGTGAAAAGGTACATTCACTGTGCTTTTTATCACTAAGTTGCAAGGAGAAAATACAGACGTGCTAAGTTAGCATGGATCATACTGTATGCGATCCTATCCGGTGACCACTGACTCTACTCTCAGACTTATAGAATATCTTTAGNCCTCTAATCCTCATTATTCCTCTATCTCCTATCGCTCCTATACCTCCTATATCTCCTATATCTTCTATACCTCCTATATCTCCTATATCTCCTATATCTTCTATACCTCCTCTACCTCTTAGACCTATCTATCTCTACATCATTTACCCTAGGACATAAGTGAGTTTCCGCGGAAACTCTCCGAAGACATGTAATCACCATTTTCTACTTTGTTCAGGATTATTTAAGTCTGTTGGTATCTTATTCATACATCCTTCCATTTCATCGAGGATTTCTACTGGCAATGTTAAAATAAATTCATTATTTATAATAATACTTAAAGCAGTATATAACAACTTAATAGTTCTTAATGATTTATTGAAATTAGCAACTGCTAAAACAGCTCGGTGTGTAGCACCCTTATATAATTCACCAATTAAATCATCAATTCCTGAACCTTGTAAAATGTCCCATATAACAACCATTGCACATTTCATCATATGAAAATCACCCGGATATAAGAAAATTCCTTCAAATTCTAAAGCATTTTTATCCTTTACCTACATAAAAAAAAATAATTATAAAAATATGTTATAGTGGAAAGGCAACTACATTAGTGATTGCATTGAATTTAGCTTATTTATTTATTCATTTAAATTGTGCAATACTTATGTATTCACTTATTACAATTTGTTGGTAAGGTGATGAAGAAGCTGATCTGTTAGGATCACAAGATTTTGTATGACAAGCTAAAGTTGATGGTTCATTTGGATTATATTATATGAATCTTAATTTTGATATGTTAGCATCACCAAATTTTATTTTTGGTATTTATGATGATAATACAGTAACACCAGTAAGTGTTATACCTGGTAGTCATCGAATAACACGTTCATGTATTGATTATTTTGAACCAAACCGTTTATCATGGGATTATACGAATTTTAGTGGTCGAAATGATTATGGTCCATTTGTTGCTGAAGGTATTGTTTGTGAAGATCTATTTGCTTGCACTGGTGGTATTAAAAGTCAAGAACAACGTGATCGATATTTAAAAATGTTAGGTTTAATATTATGTGAAATGGTAAATGCAGATCTTGATCTGTGTTACCATAAAAAATGGCTTATTTCCATATGTTCGATATTTAATATATATTAAGAATATCAATAGATGTATTTTCTTGAAATAAGTCATATAGATTAGTTGTTTCATTCTACCAGATAAAGCAGGAGGAAAATATTAATAAATTTCAAAGAATATTTGTATAGCGAAAAAGCGCTCTTTTTGGCTAGATGATACTCGAGTTTCACTTGAAGATGAAATGCGATTCGAAGCACAAGTCTCAAGAATCGAAAAAAACTGATTTCGATTGAAAAGCGAATAGTTACTCGGCAAATCCGCCGTAATTCGCTCTCGTCTCATAGCTTCTAATTACTGTTCATTGATCGATTAATTATCTAAATGATTCATTATCTATTCTTAGCTGTGTGTGGGTGTCGATGAAGAGAATCTCCACACCTAAATTAAAAAAAGTAAACTTTGTTTATGCACATCAACATGTATCCGGCAGGCTTTATTTATCAAAAAATAAATCAACAGTTTTTTCGTTTTCAATTTTGTTTCTACAGTATAATCATAAACAGTATGCATTCGCACTCATAAAAGACACGTAGTATTTTTTAAAACAAGGTACTTGCTTTCATACATTTCTTCCGGCGAACTCGTGAAACATTTTGACAATATGGTACGAATCTATATTTTGGCACATCGGATATTTTTTTGTGGAAAATCAAATTACTATGTTTTCGATTTAATCTGAACTATTAGTGCCTACTCTTGGAATACAAGACAGCCAGATCCTAAGATTCAGCTACGTCGAGGTGGTCCAATCTCGATCATTGATTGATCTCTCAACATGTTCTCAACTAAATGTTAATCGAGAAATAGTCTAGAAAAAAAGATATACAAAAATCCATAAGTTCATCATGTTTCGTCGTCTTGGTCGTATGTCGCTGTATGCACAACACAAACTCATCAATGAACGATTAGTCAATAGACCACGACACATCTAGAGTACGATACATTTTATTTTAGTGTGTTGACTGAACCGAATGCGAGAACTCAAATTTATCTCTGATAGAAAATATTTCAGTGTTTCGTGTTCTTTTTCGAAATGGAGGTTTTTTTTACAAAATTCGTTCTGATTTGTATCAGTCGGATTCTTTGTTATGATGCTCGTATACGGCTCGATTATGGTGTCTTTACAATCCAAATCAGATGATGGTATATAATCACATTTTTACCATGCATACATCATGCTTCCATCATATACGATCACAATGTAAACATTTGAAAAAATTAGCAAGCTTCTGGAAAATGTCTATTTGCATCGTGACAAATTTGGTGTGGGTGTAACTAAAAGTATAGAGAATATTTGTTTTCTTATCAAATCAATCATACTAAGCAATGAGCATAGTATATTATCGTTGAATTGGTCAGTGGTTTTTTTTGCTCTAATCTGAATACCATGTTGTTTCTGGTTTCGTATCATAGTTGCAAATTGGTATTTGTATTTATCTGCTTTTGATAATTGAGATTTATTAGCAGAAAAATCCTTTTTTTAATTAATAGACAATTCTATTTGTATTCTAGTCACGTTGTTTGCTGTTCAAACGGCTGCTCTCACGAATATATTATATTAACTGAATATAAAATGTTATCTTCTGTATCTTATAAATCAGTAATGATAGAGAAAAATTCCATGTTTTTTTCCTACTTAGTTTGATTTCACTGTGTATTTAGTAAATCGAATCTCGAAAGTCATTGTTAATTTTATTGTATCATGTTGTATAAAATAAATTTGAAGTTCGTAATTGTTTTGTTCTGATATTGACATTTTTTGGTTTTTATCAAAATTAGTTTTCAACTCGAAAAACCAATTAATAATATTTACTTTTGATTCAAGCGTATATATTTGTTATGCAGTTTTTAGAATTCATTCCTTGGTTTTAGAAATCCTAAAATTGCTAAATCGTTCTAAAATATTCTTGGTTATGTCAGATAGCAATTAAAATATTTTAAAATCTAATTGAAATCATTACAATTAATATATAATTGAAAAACTTTCGACTTTCACGCATGATTTACTTAATTTACGACAAAAAAGAACAAATCAAAAGATGTAAAGTTATACATATTATTCTGTTCTTGTTAAGGAAACTTAAGACTTCATTAATCTACTTATTTGTATTTTTTCACTTTTCTTTATGTTGAATATACGAGTACGAATCATTTTTCGACTCATTCTTTTGTTTTCTCTTTTCAAAACATTTCTCTGTTTACTCTAGATCGTTAATCAAATTAAAAAAATGTGAAATTGATTAACCAAATATTGTATAATGTAAATGATTGATCGTTTGTTTAATCTGTGACTAAAATTCTTCGTTGTAACTACAGAATTTGTTTATTATTTTTAATAAATTATACAAAGTTGCACTCAAACAATTGTTTCAAACACTTGAGTTTTTGATTTTTTAACAATTAATAATGGTATTTCCGGTTGGTTCTTCGACAAAAAAGGAACAATTTCAAGTTTTGGTGAATCATCTTGAATAGGAGTGTAAGTGACCGGTAGTACCAAAACTGATGATTCTTTTGTCTTTTTCTTATTTTTGTCATTCATTTGCAAAGAATATCGTGCTGATGATCGTCGTTCTAATTCACGAATACGCTCTTGTAAATTTTCAATACGTTTTTCCAATAATTGCTCACGTAGACTAGATTGGAAGTTTTGATTAGATGTTAACATAGGGTCATATCCCATAAAATTCTATGGAATTTACATAATATTATTAAAAAAATATATTTTTACTACATAATAGAAGTGAATTTTGATACCTGATCAAATTCATCGTCTTTGTTAGAACGTTTAGATCGAGTCCATAAATGTGCATAAGTATTTTCAAAGAGAAGAATAATAATGGCAATAAGAGTACCACCAAGAAGAAGGAAAAATGCTGATATAAAATTTCGTGTCTAAACGAAGAAAATAAATTTATAAAAAAAGAAAATAAAAACTTTTTACTTCAAGTGACTGACTACTCCGTCGTGATTGATAATCCACACTAGATTTACAAGCACCTGATATCAAGAAAAAAAAAGCAGCATATCTATCTAAATCTTATTTACATAGAATTTTCTTACCTGTAAACCAAAATCGTCGAAGGCGTTCAATTTCACCTAAAACAAAAACTAATTAAGTCCGTTTAAAAGATGAAGAATCTTCAAACCAGAATGATGCATTTCAATAATTTCTTTATTAATCATATCTTTGAATTTTGATTGTTTAGGAAATCCAATACCATAACCAGTCATTGCATACCAATTTCCAACAACACGTAATTTACATTCATCATCTTGTCCACTTAGATAATCGAGAACGACTGCATCATATAAAAATGCATGTAATTCTCTACAAACATAAAAAGAGAAGGATCAAGTGAAAATATTGAATTAAATTTATTTTTACCCGGTTTTTATTGCTTTGATTCCTTCAGAAACATTTCTCTTCATAAATTGTCTCAAATATGAATATAATTCTTTATGATTTTTTTTGACAACTTCATCAGTGCTCTAAATGTAAGAAAAAAAATTGATTATCTCAAACAATCAATCGGAAATCTTTGTATTTCTGTCATTGTTTATTATACATAGAACAATGTACAACAAGTATCATTGATTATACTGAGTTGATGATCTTCTAATTCTAGCTGATTGATTTTAAATCGAAATATGATAAGTTAATTGTGCTCTATATTTTTATGCAATCGACTGTTAAGATAGACTTCGAAAATTGTATCACGAAATTTACAACTTGAGTACAAAATGAATATAAAAGTCTGATATGGTGAATTCAATTTCTCTTTCTGCTTCAATTTAAAAAAAAAAATTTTTCTTATGACGATAAAACTTTTAATAACTGCTTATGTACGACTACTATCTATTAGCGCCTAGGATTTTTTCAATAATAAGAAATGGATAAAATAATAGCAGATAATTTAGAAATCAATCTAGATATTCGATTCATTATCTATTTCGAATAGATTATTAGGAATGACAGAGAATTTATATTTGGATAAACGAAGACGGTTGAAAACGTTTAGAGACGGATTTTATTTAAAAGCAAGAAAAAGAGTTACTGTTTTAAAATTGTTGTCTGTTTGTCGTTCAAACAATTCTCTATCCATGGACATCATAAGCTTCAATTAATAAAACATTTGTGTAATAAGTACAATAATAACTCTTTTTTTTCAGATCAACTTAGATACACGAATGTAAAATCAAATACGTGAACATCGCTCAGTAAAATAGTATCTTCATGTGAAAGGTCAGTCAATATCCAATATTTATGTTTGTTGTAACAATGCTCTATCACACGCCAGAGTATTTGAAAGGGTTCGTCGTTTTAAAGACGGGCAATTAAATATTGATGATGATCTTAGTGTGGGCTGAACAATTACTGTAATGGACGAAATAACTATTAAAGCTGCTGAAAATCTAGTTATCAAGGACCGTCGAATCCCAATTCAGCAGATAGCAAACATCCTAGACATTTCAAACTGGCATCACACATAGCATTTAGCATGATTAGTTACGAATGATTTAAATCTATTCAAGATAGATGCCACATTTACTAATTACTGATCAATAACACAACACTATTCTACTGAAGGAAACAACTTTTTTTTTCGAATTATAACTGGTAATGAATTGTGGATTCATTATTATGAAGGTAAATCAAAGAATTATCATGTCCTTGAAAACGAGCTGATTCATCAACACCATCAAAACTACTAGAAGAAAAGTCTACTGACAAAGATCTATAATTTTTTTTTCTGGGATCATACAGAAGTAATTCTCGAAAAGTCTATACAACTTCGTATGGCAATCACTAAAGTGTATTATACATGTCTTTTGATAAAAAAACTTCATCCAAATATTAGAAAACAACAGCGAGGTTTAATTTCAGTTGTTGTTACTATTCAACATAGCAATGTTTTACCATATATTTCATATCTTGTTTCTTCGATTAGTCATGATTAGAAATATGAATTACTTCATCATCCATCTTATTCTTCAGATCTGGTTCCCAATGACTATTTTTTGTTTCCAGTTTTAAAGGATTAACTCAGCGGACGAAACTACAATGATCGAAGTTCATTAGGTTCACCCTTATATCAATGCTTGAAACATTTATCTGAAGATGACTTCACAACAGCTATACAAAAGTCTTTAGAACGTTGACAAAAGTGTATTGTGTCAGAGAGACGATACTTCGAACAAGAAAATAAACATTTTTAATTACAACTTACTTAGCTTTTCTCTAAATAAAATCAGTTGTAGAACTTTTTGAATATCCTACGTAGTTATTGTTAGGATAGAAATATTTATGAAAAGGATAAAAACATCGTATCAGTTATGTATTGATTTAATATATATATTATTTGTAAAGTTTCTGTTAGGTTTCGGTATTTTATCGATTCTTCATAGTTATCATTTTTTTCTGGCTCATTCATCATTTTTATATCTTGACAACTATACTAATTATTTATCAATTTTATTCGCTATCCATCGATTATCTTTTGTTCATCTTATTAAAATATCCTTGTCTATCTATTTCTAGCATAATATAACTTTCAAAAATAAGAAAAGACAAAAAAAAACATATTAATTACTCCGTTAGCAATAGTCCCATAACGAAATGATGGTTTCATTGAATGAGGATTGGTAAGCTAGAATTAAAGAATGTGTGTATTAAGATAAAATTATTTGTTAAGTGTAAAACATACCCGATAATCGTTTATACCAGACAGATCAAAGTAGGTATCTTTGGTGATCATAAAAGCAGCTAGAAAACGTTAAATAATTGTTCAAAACTGAATGAATACTGAATAATACAAAACCTAAATTAGCTGTATAACTAGCCGCAAATGCCAAACAGAAACAAGCCCAAATATTAGCCATAAATTTTGATGTAAAACTTTTTGGATGAATTACTTTGGCCGGTACTCGAAAAAGAACAACCCAAGTAAGCCATACCGATTGAGGAAATGTCATTTTGAGATCTATATAATAATGTTGTTAACAATGAAGAATAAAAATTTGACATAAAAACCTTTTTTCGCTGAAAGTCGAACGAGATTCCAGATATACTGAAATGGAGATATGTAGTTTAATTCTTCATTTTGAAGATCCTATTTTTCAAAAAAAGAAATGAACTATTTACAGAATGTTGAAGATTTCAAAAACAAAAAATCATGATCATTTTTTTTAACTTAGTATACTTAATGATAATTTAATAGTTTCTGAATATTTCAAAATATTCGCAAGATATTTAATAGATTTCAATACTATAGTTTTGATTATTTTTAATCATAGAATCAAAATAAAAAATCTTCTGAAATATTGATCAAACAATTAAATGTCATATTGCATTAATTGAGTAAGAGAAAATATTATCAATAAATCTTCTCAATAATAAAAATAACATACATGATCATTATCATAATTAGTCAATTTGTTGTGAAAATATTCAAATATATAAACCATTATTGCAACACCATGAAGAGTAAACAATAACATAAGAATCCAAATACGATAATCATACGGTTCTTGACAAAAGAATTGTTATTTGACATTATATTGTTCAAAACAATTTAAAATTTTTTTTTTGCTTACCCAAGAAAGCTGTTGTTGATACAGCTCCTTTTCTTATAGAAACAACCAATGCAATACCTGTTTCCATAAGTGGAATACTAAAATCAATAGCATCACTACGTTCTGTAGTTATTTTCAATGAAGTTAATGTTAAATCAGCTCGATTTTCAAGAAGTTCAGAAACAAGACCATTCCATTTATTCTAAACAAACAATACATACATTCGATTATTTTTATGCTAAAAATAAAATGAAATAAAATTATTAATTACAGTCAATGGATTTCGTCCACCCCATGTTCGATCAAGAACTTGATAAAGTTCAAATTCAAATTTAAGTCTATCTTTTAATATATTAAATATATCAATATAAAATCCTGAACAACATTGATAATTTTGTGGATCACTATGATTAGCACCACTGAAAAATAATTAAAAAAATTTTTCTCACTAGGAATCACGATTTTTTTCTTCTAATTTAAACTTCTGAATAAATGTGAATGATACTTCATATATCATCAAAAGAAAAAGATTTCTTTCTTTCTATTTCTTAAAAAAGAAATAAATCTGAATATTTTTAATAATCTAATGATGTTGAATAGAATAATTTAAGGAAACAAAAGTAGTCTTGATTGATTTTCTTACGAATTTTCTGGTCCTATACGACAAATAACTGAACCAGCTTGACATTTTCCATCAGAAGATGGATCTTTGAACATGACAAATGGTTGTTCTTCAAGTGTTACTGCTTTCAAATAATATATAATAGGTTTGCCTGGTGGTGGTTTTGATCGTTCACCTGGCCATTGAATATCGGCTATTGATACTGTACTATTGACATATTCACCAACCTATTTTTAAAAATTCAATAAGAATTAATTGACAAGTACATGAAAATTAAATTTTTTTTGACTTTTTTCCATTCATTATTTGGCGTTTGAAAATTTAATATAGAATAATTAGCTGCTATAGCTAAACCATCTTGTTGAAAAACTCCATATGCTCGTTTAAATTCATCTTTGAATAAACTAAATAAATTAATAAATATTTTAAATTATCTGTTTAAAGATTAATATTTACTTGTAAAGAGTAGGAATTATATGTTTTAAAGATGGTTGATTCAATGAATTATTAATAGCAAATATTCGTTCACATGCTGATCGACCTCGAAATGAATGTGTAAATACAGTCATATCAGCATACCATTGTCGTACTACATCCAAATGTGTTATTTTAGAAAAAATATTAATTAATATAGGTCCAATATATTTATCAAAACGAGCAAGAACACTATCTAAATTCCATTCAATAGAAAACTAAAGCTTTCAATGAACGTTAGAAAAAAAAAAAGTCCCACCTCGAGTGACATCCTGATATAACGCTAAAAATAAGATAATTATATTAAATTAATGTAACAGAACTGAAAAGAACAAACCTAATGTACCAGAAAAAAAATTCATTTTCCGTCGATTTGGATTATCATATGGATTCATTTTAGCTTCATTACCACTGCTGTATGTAGCTAAAGAAATTTTCAAAATAAAAATTATTAATATTTATATAAAAATGTCTTTTAAAATTTACATAGTACGATTGATGACATAATCCACATGTATTCTGGTCCTACGAGACTCATATTATTTGCTTGTTTAACAATAAGTGATGCCATTGTTCTTATTTAATAGAAGTTAAGAGAAATATTTTAAAATATTCAATAGGATAAAATACTAAAACATACGATGTTGTATGAACAATTATAACACGTGTTTCTGGAATCATCATTGATAGTTGTTGTCTAATATGTATTGGATTAATACTTTTCATACGAATAATTGAGAGTATTGTAAATCTAATTTAAAAAATATTGATACTATTAATTGAATAAAAACAAAATAATAATAAAAATCATCAAGTTGAAAGCTAAAGCAAGATATAAGTTTTAATTAGGGAAAACAATTGAAATCTTTCTTCTTTAAACTTAATTATAATACTAATGTATGAATTTATATTTATTCAAAATAGTATATTTTTTTACCTTTGTCAACTTTTAAATTTTATTCTATGTATTTCATTCGATTAATTACTAAGTGAAAAAATTTACATGAAATGCTCTATTTATTATCGACACTGGAGAATTTCTACATAAACATTTGCTTTATGATTAGAATGCAATATGTTTTACAATGAAAAACTTTTGGATATTCGAATCGATACAATTGTTATAGATCTGACAGAAATAGAACTTTTTGTATTTAACATTCATTTACTCATACGACTATACGAAGTTCCAGTTGCTAATTGCAATTAATATTAAATTCAATTTTATTGATCATTTTTGTTTTTTCCAACATAATCCTATCAAAGNGAAATTTTTGGATATTCGAATCGATACATTTGTTATACATCTGTCACAAATAGAATTTTTTGTATTTAACATTCATTTACTCATACGACTATACGAAGTTCCAGTTGCTAATTGCAATTAATATTAAATTCAATTTTATTGATCATTTTTGTTTTTTCCAAAATAATCCTATCAAAGAATCCATTGATCTTTATGATTTGTCTTTTTTTTTCTATCGTCCATTTATGACTATTGTAAGTATATTCACTGGTTTTATCGAATAAATAATATAGTGGACTTAGTAATGTTATCAATAGATATTGTTGAAAACTTGAAAATATTATTTTATTTATTTATTCAATGAAATGGTAAAATTAGAGTTATAGATTAGATAAAACATTTACTTACTTTTTTTTATCTTTGAGATAATTATGATTACATGATGTTTTCCGACTAAAACAAATTCTTAACGTTTTAATATTATCAAAAGTATAAGATAGATATATAATTTGTTTGTTTGTTTGTTTGTTTTTTATTTCTATCTTATAATTAAAAGTAAAAATTCAAATAATCTTACCAAGATCGTTGTTCACTAGTTTGCTCTTCAAATTCTTCTATAAGTTCTTCTTCACCGGGTAGATGTGGATCAATAATTAATGAAAATGCATTCCAATCATATCGTTTCATTAATGCTAACAAAGCTCGAGCTTCTTCTCGATAGGTTGGTGCCAATTGAAAGAAACGTAAACTTGGAAAATGCTACATGAAAATTTAAAAAAACTGATTCTAATATTTTAATTATATGTTTCTCTTTTTGTTTATAATAGATCTTTACTTACAGCAGGATGAAATGGATGAAAAAAATGAAATGACAATATGGGATACTCTAATAATGTAAAAAGTTTAAGAAAAAATAAATAAGCAGCGGATGATCCATGATGTTCATCACTATATTCATTTAAATAAATCAATAACATTGGACGTGATTGTAAAATTGAACAAAGATTTCCAATTAATGTCGTAATTGATTTTGCATATAGTGTATGAATCGACCGTCTGAAAACAATTCTAAAACATTTTTCCTGACAAAATTAAAAACAATATTTTTACATAACAAATTTGCCACATGTTGGTGTATAATTAGAATAAAACTGTGTTGATGCAAAATGTTTCAATTGAGAAAATTTATCATCATTTCCTGATGATAATGCTGCCAATGGAATGGTCACACATGTCATATTTGATGATATGACTTGACGTTTTTCAAATTCAGCAACAGATAAGCGATTCATAACAATAAACAATAATAATATAAGACAGTGCGACATTGTCATTGTTGTAATTGATCTAAATCGATCAGACTCAATAAGATGAATGTATAAAACACATATATATACACGTCGACGACAATTGATGTTTCTCTTAGTGAGTGATTCTTCGCAAAGCCGTCATTGAAAAAAAATACAAAAGAGAATGACGAAACGAGACCGAAATCAATTGTCTATGCGCCACTCTATAGTGCTTATAGGAAGTGGGATGACCGAAAAAAAAATGAGAGAATGCTATGAAAGTATTAGATGATGTTGATATAATTATTGTATTTTAATGCATCTAAATAAATGTATATGCGCAGAGAAGTAGAAATATTTCTTATTTGTGACTTTTCTCATTGCTTTTGTGACTTATCAATAAGTCAAAAAAAAAATCGATGAAGACCAAAATATATTCTCATATTCTTAGTTGTATCCAATATTTTGTCGTCAATAGATGAAGATAAAAATGATGGTATAGAACATTATATGGATATGATGTATAATAGAATTTCTCATAGATTAATTTCAATTTCGGAATCGAGATTCTTCAATAGTTCTTTCTCGGGGTGACAGCGGAAAAAAAGAAAAAAGAACAAATTGAAATTAAACGATTGTCTAAATGCATCAATCCTTTTATCTTCTTCAGTTTCGTCGTCGAACAGAAAAGAATTTGATTATATGTTGTTATGATTGATGCTGTTAAGCGTACATATAACAGTAGTTGTGACTAAGATAATAATGATAGATTGTTTTTTAAGTTATCCAAATGTATGATCAATGTTTCATCTAAATTACTCGTCGTCTTGCTTACAACGTCAAGAACTTTAATTGTTATCTGATCATTATTTCTAGATTCGTTACTTTTTAACTGATAGTATCAAAATCAATATAAAAAATTTCAATTGAATGATACATAACTTTTCAATCAAAAAAGAAAAATATGTCATAAAAAAATTATTTTCCGATCAATATTCTTTTGTTCGTTTTATTTTGGTTATTTTTGCTCTTTTTTTTAACGTTTGTTTTTCTTCTTTGTCGAAGGATTCAAAATATATTTGACTTGCTTTGTCCTACTTTCTAACTGTCTTTTTTGTAAAACACGACTGAAAAAGAGTGTTGCAGTAAAGAGGTGAGAATTTGGACTCTCCTCCATAGACGTGACAGACATCAAAGAAACGAGTCATTACACAGGTAGCACATATGTTGAGAACGACTTACACAGTCATGACAGACACTTAAGAAATGGCATATATTAATAACGTCTCGTCACAATATATGAACTAGTTTCTAATTGGATTTCTGTAAGACAAAGTACGAGAATGGTGAAAAAATGTGTTTTCCGAATTAGATAAAATGAAACAATCATCCTATGATTAACAAAAGCAGTTATATGATATTTTACATTTTAATCGTGCAGAGATAGCACTTAAAACTTTGTTTCGCTTTGTTGCACATATAATGTTTGAATAAATGCATTGTATGAAAAAAATCGAACTATAATAATCAAGAAACCAAAACGGAAAATATTCAAATTGAGATCATTGTTTCGTTTAGAAAATGAGAAATTTGTTAGAATGGATACATTCCACTCCATATAATACAATGCAAAGGATCGAATACGAATAGATCAAAATTATGCAGTTAGTACGAATATATTGCTTATTGATAATAATCATAAATAAAATTGCTAATGAACAATTATTGGATGAGCTTATAGATCCTTATTTCAGAGACCAGATAAGATTACTAAAGAAAAATACAACTGAAGAGAAAAACAAAAGAGTAGATGGTTTCGTTTATATAAATAACTTAGTTCAAATGAGAAAATCTTCATTTTAATATTCATAGATTTTTCCCTTTCTTCTAACGTTTTCTTGGTGAAACTTCGTTAGAAGAAATACTTATATGATGTGACAATACTAATCACACTTGAGTAACTCCTTTCTTTTATTGTATACGTTTTTGGTTGTAACTCAACTTAGTTACATTAATAAGTGTTATTTTTTATCACAGATTCAACAGTTAATCTTATATATTGGTACTTGTCATTGCATTTCCGATTCATTTTTTTATCGGTACTTTACTTGATTATTGATAAGCTATATTATTTTCTTATACTTTGTCTTTAATTTTCTTTAGAAACAGATACAATAACGGAACAAATCATCAAATTATATAGCATTAGTGATTCGAGTAGTTTAGCTAATGGTACTTTCGTCATTTTTTTTTTGTTGATTGCTGTAACATGAAAATAGAAAAGATAATAAAGAAGACATTCTAGATACTTAGTCTTACAAATTAAAGAAGTTAAAGAAAAAAACTAGCTATGCGATGTCTCTGTGGAATAGTCAGTGAACCACAACAACAACAACAGAAGCCTACGCAATTCATATAATTTAACATCAACAACCACAGCAAGTTCTCAATAATCCTCATTCTTATTCTTATTGTTATCACCCTCATACACATCATTTTCATTACATGCACGCCTATCCACTTACGTCCTAACATCAGGCATTTTATTTGTTTTGTTTTGTCATGATTTACATGCACCAAGAAATGCTCAACATAGCTTTCCCAATATTGGTGTTAATACATCAGATAAATTTAAAATTCTATCAAAAAGTAAAGACAGATCATTCATGAATTAACATGGAATACTCATGTTGAACTGCAACTCTGCTATGTCGAACATCGGACAACATAAAGAGACCGAAGAGAAAGTAAATAAATGTTCACTAGTGAATTAACTGCTATACATAATAATTTTATAGACATTATACATGAAGTAACAATTATAAAAGATCCAAAAAGTTGTCTATCTACATTTACAAAGTCAATATCATAACAAGGCAAATATATAGAAAGTATTGGAGCAGTTAGAAACACGAATGACATAATAATTGCGGTTTTTTTACTTTTTCTCAGCTTCTCTCAATGTTCATTTTATGAAATACTTTCTGACATTCTTCAATTGTCTTATAATAATCATTGTTCATATTTTTTGAAACATGATTAAAAATCTGTTAGCACAACCTCAGTGAGATTGAAAGTTGAAACACAATATAGCTACTCTCATTAATCACAGAGAGATTGCTTTATTTTAACTATTTAAGGAGATATTTCTTCACCATCCTTTTGATTTAATTCTCAAGAATTGCAATAAAGAAGTAGTTCATATACTATTATGAAACATTATTGATATAGGGTCTGTGATCGTATATGAACAATGTCTGTTATGGTCTCTGGAAGTCCACATTTTTACTTCTGTACTTCAACACTTCTTTCAGATCGTGTCTTACAAAAAGCATATTGAAGCAAGTTATCTGTAATGAAATTTTAAAAAATTTTGTATTTCGATTCAGTTATATTTGGCTCGAAAAAAATCTCTGTGAGTTCAGTTTACATTTAATGTATGAATACGTGACCTAGCAATATTATAAAATAGATCTGTGTTTAAACATTCATTTTCAATAAAACGAAAATTTATACATATTTAAGACTTGTTCAAAATCTGTTTTTTTTTCTTTCAAAAAAGTTGAAAAATCTTTGAAAAAATTATACATATTAGTTTGACATATCTAAAATGATAGAATTTATGTCTAGTTTAATCGTAAGTTTAGAAAAAAAAATTTTTGGATTAAGACAAAAGCGTATGAATATAAGTATCATTACATCCTGCTAACAAACTCTACGTTTACTCCATGAAAATTTTATATATATACAAAATGACATCGTCGATTTTTTGTTATTTAACAAAAGAATTTATCTAACCCATTACTATTCTTTGTGTAAGAAATAGATGAAATAAGTCTTTCTAAATAAAAACATCATTTTATTTTCCGTGTATAATTTTCTTTTTCATTTTTATCGATAAAGGAATATTATCAAGAGCTAGCTAATTGTTTAAAAACTCATCTCAGATATGGATGGTTATTGGGAAAATATCCATCATATCTATCTTGATATTTCATCGATAAAAATAAAACAATTCTTACATTACTTCTTTTGTCATTACTCGTGATATTTTTGCACAACTCTGACTGAAACCACTAACATCGTAGTTTTTGTTTCTCGTTATCTGGTCGATATCTCCTTCTTCTAAACAGACGAAATATATTCAACAATGAAAAAGAACATAATTCGTTCTGTTATTGAACGTTACGGGAAATAAAACATTAATGCTATTTTAGAACATTTTGATTAGACTTGTTTGACTATATGTTGTTGTCTGAGAACAAAATCAAGTAAATAATAATGACAAGCAATTTGTGTACTAAACCGAGCATATAGAGTGTAAATTTCGATATAATTATTTTTGGCATATATTCACCATAAAAATGATCGATTCTTACGACATGTAAAAAATAATATAAATTTTGACAACACAAAAATGTTTGCCAAAAAATCGTTCCTTTATTAAGATGTGAAGAAAATTAACTTATAAAAAGCACAATTGTACGGTTTATGAACAAATATGTTATGCTTGCTCTTGCGAAATAAACTGGCAGAGGAGCGAATTCATTTCATGTTTTTTTCCCAACTATCGTCTTTCCGAGTGATCAAAATGTGAGTCCAAATGAAGAGTATCAATAAGATGTATATTCTAACAAGAAATAAAAAACAATTTTCATAATTATATACTGATGATCAGTCAAAATAATCATAAAGTCGAAATTTGACTCTTCTTTCTATATGTCAAGGATTTATTAATTATTTAGCTGAATATTTGTATGTTTTAATGTTTTTCTATTAAATTAATTGATAGGAAAGGAAAATAATTTATAAATGAAGTTTATTTTGTTAAATAAATCGAAGAATGTCTCATTTCATCTCAAACAGATGTCTCCAATCTATAAGAAAATCAAAGAGCACATATGGAATAAAAATATACAATTCTAATAGAACAATGAACGAATATTCTGTAATATTTTTATTCATTGAAGATTTGATTAATATTTCATTTTAGATTCCATTTCATGAATAGCTGTTTCTATTTCAATAATATTTTGATGTGTTGATGGTAATGTTTTACGACTAATTTTAAGTGATTTCTTATAATATTCCAACGCTATCGAATAACGTTTTTTACATTTATACATCCATCCAATATTCTTATATACTGCAGCAATTTGCGGATGATTAGGTAATAATGTTCTTTGACGAATTTTAAGCGCTTTTTCATAAAATTCTAAAGCTAAGCCATACTTTTCCATAAGAGTATATGCATTTCCTATACTATCATAAGTTGCGGCAAGGTCAAGCGAATTAGACGGAAATGTTTTTTCTTGAATTTTGATTGCCTTATTTAAATCGATCACAGTTTTTTCATAGTTCTCGTTTTCTAAGTGAACCTCACCAAGAAAACTATAAGTCTCTCCAACACTAGAATGATCTTCTCCCAATACATATTCTCGAATTTGTAGGACTTCTTCGAATTGTTCGAGACTTTCATCACAATTATTGCAACGAAGATGTGCCCATCCAAGACCTAATCGAGCATCTGCTAGTGTAAGCAATATTTCATTTATCATTCGTTCATAACATTTACGTGCTTTTTCATTTTCACCCATTCTAAGCAATAATTTACCAAGAGAATCAAGAGTAGTATTTTCACCAATTTTTTGCTTCATGTGAGAATATATTTCTCTCAAATGAAAATCATCTTCACTTGCTAAAGATAGACGAGCTACCCATACTCGATCATTTTCGTTTTTAATAACTGTCTCAATACGAAATAAGGTACCGATCATAATTAATATTTCCTGTTCTTTACTGAAAGAACTATATTTTGTAATATCAGCAAAGGCTTTAGTTTTTAAACGTGGATCTATTGTAATTTCAAAGATGATTGGTTGCATATCATCACGAATCATTGTAGAAGTTCGAGCAAATTGAAGAGCAACTAATCGATTATGACTAGTTGATACAAATGAATTCATCGAAAGAAATTCACCGATATTATTTTTCATCAAATTAAGTTCATAATTTTCAATTACTTGTCCACGATAAACCTGCATTGTATTTCGATTGTTACAAGTCCGAATGAACATTTCATACTCATTCTTGATCAGCGTAGCAATATCACTAATGAAAAATCGAATTGTAAATAACATATCAAAGTCTTTCACACGTAATGCTTTATTTAACATTCAATGAAAACACGAGTCACGTGTATACTACCAGATGGCTCTTTCTGCTCTATAATTCTTTTCAAATTCATCAATAATAGACAGTTCTTGGGGATTATCACTGTAATTTTTCTTACAAATATCAACAAGTTCATTACGATCAGTTGGTTTCTGATGCATATGAACAAGAACTTCGATGAATAATTGAAACCACATGAAGATAGCATTCTGAGCTTCAATGGATTGCGCATGTTGGGTTAATACAGAAACCGAAGGGCCATTGTCTACTTTCGCTCGAAAAATTTGATCTTTTGATATTTGAGCAACAAGCTCCGAACGTTGCACGAAAATACCGCTTACCTATTCAATAAAAGAACAATTATTAAATATGAACTATGTTTTTAGACAATATTCTACCTTACGATAATATTTAGCCCATTCTTCATTCATTTGTTTATTATGACAAAAGACATAACATGCTGCAAGTTGTGGAAGATCATGAAGTCGAGGAATAATCTGTCCACCTAAGAAGCCTGACACAATGAGAATTATTTTCTCGTGTGTAATTTGTTGAATGTACTGTTCACATTCATTAGCATTATCAAATATTCGAAGATGGTTGATTATTTGACGAAATTCTTTTAGAGTTTCTTGATTATCTTGTGTTATGTGCACATTTTGATCAAGCCACAAACATGTAAATGATTCAAGATTGAAGACTGTAGACCGATTGTCTGCTCTAATAAAGCTTGATACTCCTGGCACTTGTTTTCTATTAGAATCCATATGCGTTAGACAAAACTCCTTCAAATGATAAAATACTACTTTTATTCTTTATCTCTTTCTTTTCATAATGATGTTGTACTATTGTTTGACGTGTTGCTTGTTCTTCTCAACTAAAGATATTGTTCTGTTCTAGTTGCTGCAATGAAATAAAAAAAATAGCTACCCGTGGCGTATATCAACAATATGCATACAAAACGAAACATTCAGCCCATGCACTACTTGATAACTTATCGTAGAAAACAAACACCGCATGTAAGAGTCAATATTGCTTAGAATAATTTCGATACAAGAAATGTTTTGTTTCCATGAAATTACATCAATGAATCTAATTCATATATTCAGTAATAGAACTATATTTTCAAGAAAAACTTATACTATTTTAAGTGAGCCTTCAGAAGTAAATTTTGCATCCAAAATTGTGATATTTCATGTAAACTAATATAATATTTCTAATACAATCATTAAACACTTTTTGTATGACTTATAAAACATAAGTTCAATTGATAGTTTTACCAATCGTTTATCTCATTTTGTTATTATATAAATTTTGAAATAAATTTAGTAGAATTATGATGGAACGTGACTCATACAATTCAACAAACAAACAATTATAACGATTAATATAGACGCAAAAAATATAAAAGACATTTTACATAATTTATTTTATTTGCATTCAAGTATAATTAATATAACAATAGTTTAAACACAAATAGAACTATTAAAAGATAAAAAGCAAAAACTAATCCATTTTATTTACATTTATTAATCTATGTCGTTAGTAACTTAATTGAAGTATAATTTAATTTGTAATCCATGATCAGCAATAGTTATTTTGAAATAAATAAATAAAAAAGAAATCGTACTAAATGGTTGTATAACCTTCATCGACTAAAAAACTAGCACCTGTTGCAAAATGACATAAATCCGAAACAAGAAATACATTTAAATTAGCTATCTCTTCAGATGAGCCCAATCGTTTTAAACATTGTTTTCTTATCTCTTCTGTAACAAATTCATCCATTGTTAATTGTAAGTTAGCTGCATGATTTATAGTAGCTGGTGTAAGTAATAGTATCAGGACAAATAGTATTACATCGAACATTCAATGGGCTCAAATCAAGTACTAAATTACGTGTCATTTGTAGAACAGCTCCTTTTGTTGTACTATAAGATACAAATTCAGGTTGAGCAATCTAACTACTAATACTAGCCATTTGAATTATTGAGCCTGATCGTTGTTTTTTTAAGTAAAGAAACAACAGCTTTAGCCATGAGAGTATAATCACGTACAGTAACATTTAATATGTTAGACCATGCTTGTGCTAATGCGTTTTCAACTGAACACAATGTAAAAATATCAACGCTAAAATAAGAAACAAAAGAAAAATAATTTTTTTCTTTATTTTACCAAACAATTAACATACTTATTGACAAGTATCTACATCAACTATATTTCATTTATCTACGAAAATTTTCATTGCATTTTGAATAGCTTGTTCATCAGTAACATCCAATTCAATAGCCATAATATATTCTTTTCTTGTCTCATCTTCATTAAGAATTTTCTTTACAACTTCATCAGCAGCTTTTTTATTGATATCAGCTACTTCTACACGTGCTCCATGCAATAGCTCCACCAGCGCCAGTAACAATAACTACTTTATTTAGTAATAATCGAGATCAGTCAGCGCTTGATTTCGATGCTTACTCAGGTGCTGTAGACATAACTTTGCACAACAAGGTAAAATGTTCTTTCTCTTGCTATTCTCTCTTATCTTTAATGTTGAATTAGTACGAACAACAAGATGCATACATTAATAAAAATCAAGGCACCCTTACCTCCATCTATTGGTGTCCTAAAAGATTGCTTGATTGAAGAAATACAAAACACGATATATTATTAATGATGAGTCACTTTCTACATTAGAAAGATGGATGGGAGAAAGGAAGAAACTAATATAAAAAAATTTACCTTTTAATTCAAATTTTAAGACTAAAGCACTATTGAAATTATTGCTTTTTAAAAACTGTAATAAAATTTCTCTTTTAATTATTATTATTTTTTTGTAATTGAATTCTCACCAAAAACACAAATCTATCTGGTTAATATTCATAATAATTTTTATAAAACTAAGATATTCATTGATTTTGTACTATCTCACTTCAACGTTAGTTTTATTTCAGATAATTTTTATTATCTATTATAATGTGATTTGTTTTTTATTTATCTATAATCAAATTCATTCTATCAAAGAGAAATCAAAATCAGTATATATATATATATATAGACATATATCGAAGAATTTATATTAAAATAGCTTCATTTTTGTTTATTTTTTCATAAATTTATATTAATTATTTATAGATTCATTTATTAATTAATTCTTATAGAATGGTGTTAGATGAAAATATTTTACAAGAAATATTAATCAAAACTTGGAAACTTCGTTCTGATGAAACAAGTTTTTCAGCGTCACTTTCACCATTAGTTGCTGCTTGTCGATCTGAAGAAGAATTTCGAACATTATTTACAAGTAAAATCAAAATGATCTATCTTATTTTTTATAAATATATCAATTTTAGAACTAATTCTTGAACATATTGATTCAGCAACATCATCAAGTCTTCTTCAATCATATTTTAAATTTCATACAAGATCTGGTTATGTTAATGAATCATTAATTATTGAACGTCTTCTTTCATTGAAACCTTCATCATCATCAATTGTAGAAGATGTACAAATTAAGTTTTTACTTGAATTATTATTGGATACACTTAAAACAATGCATGTTACTGCTGAACAAGCACCGCGTCTTGGTAAACAAATAAATTTACTTGCAAAATGGCTTTGTTCAGCAGTATGTAATTATTCAAATGAAGAAATGACTCCAACTGGAAAAGAAATGCTTATAGCAGTTTCCAATTTATTTCTTTTATTTTTTACAAATACAACATATTATTGTCTTTGGTTAATGACAATAAAAGCCCAAAAAGAACAAACAGAATGGAGACAATTACAAGATCAATTAACTCAAGTTGCGCAAAAAACTACTATAGGAGAATCTACAAGACCAGATGTTTATGAGCAAGTTCTCATTAAGTAAGACTTTATTTTATTATTTACAATATAGAATTTTGAAAAAGTAAATAACGAATATCGACTTTAGAACTAAATTTAGAAAAAAAATCTCTCGAATGTGATTTAAAAGTGTTATCTAACGGTGAATGAAAAGATATTAATGTTTTTATCGATTCTAAAAACCGCTATGCTATGTTTCTTTCTTAACAACTTTAAGTTTTTCTAATTCTTTGTCTTTTTGAACTGAAAATAATCTACATTTCGCAATAGTCTTTCGCATAGGTTTGGGTTGACATCTCTCTATAAAAAAAAAAGTTATTTATTGTTAGTCATCATTTGAAAGTTTAATAAACAGTGGGTTTGATACAGCCCTTATTGACTCACTCAAAGAAGGAGTTACTACATAATAATTGTTAGAAGCTTCAAAAAAACAATCCTAAAACACAAAATATTTGCATCTTAGTTCATTTCGTTGATTTAAAAGAATAGTGATGGTTTTTGTTCGCGTAAATGAAAACTTTGCAATAGTATCTATCATATGAAAAACGATGCGATTGAATTAAATCATTTATGAACTTATACAAAAATATGTCGATGTACATTATCGAAGCATTCTATGCATAAAAATTCGTCTGAAATATCGCAATATTTACAAACTTTCGTGTTATAATATTAAGAAAAACTTTATTAGCCTTTTGGTTACGTGGTGTTTTTTGAAAAATAATGAAAAGTATTATTTTCTCAAAGAAAAAACTTAAATTAGATTTTATTATCATACAGAAGCATTCAGATATGTTTCAGAGTATGATATTCTTCAAAAGAACCTATAACACAAAGCCCAACGTTACAAATTTTGGAAAAAAAAAAACTAACATGACGCATGTGAACTCATTGGAAAAATTTCATGGAATATGTTGAAAAATTCCAGCATGTGATGCGCAGGTATTTTCAGCTATCATGAATGTTCTAGAACTAGTTCCATGAACAATTGTAAGTCACGATAGAAACATAGAACATCATTTGGCAAGAAGGAAAGTACAAAGAAAAGAGAAGGAAAATTCACCTGAACTATTTTGACGAAATATATTACAACGAATCTATGTCAACAAAAGGAATTAGATAAGTACAATGCATAATAATGCTATTCGACATTACGATGATGAAGCAACACGAGAGTAACAGGCGGGGGGGGGGGGGGGGGGGGGGGGGGTGCGGTGTTGTAGCGAAGAGGAAAATGAAGAGGCGGCACAGGGGC